TACGAGGCAGCGCAACAGGTGTTCTTCTCGGTTGGCGCTGGCTTCGGCGTCCACCTGTCCTACGCCTCCTACAACAACTTCAACAACAACTGTTACCGCGACTGTCTCATCACCAGTCTCGTCAACGCATTCACGAGCTTCTACTCCGGCCTCGTCATCTTCACGTACCTTGGCTACATGGCCTTCAAGCAGAAGACGGACATCGGGACAGTGGCCACAGACGGTTGGTTGGCGTCATGTCTGCCGTAAAATGCCATAGCATGATCTTCATTGTAGATATCATGCCTTGTTGGATTCTTGTCTATCGTAAAGTTTATATGTCATCTCGATGACAATCTGTCGCAAATCTTGTATATCATAATGATATTCAACTAAAAGATTTTTAATGCACGCAATGTTCTATTTTACCCATGCCTAAATATTCCATTTCAAAATTATATTCCATAAAAGAGGCTTCTTTCTACACCTTGCTCTATCCCTACCTACGATAAATTATCCATTATACATGAACCAAGAGATATTCATACCACAATGCCATGCCGTTTTGCTATCGTAAGCACCATATACCCTGATAACATACACTGCACTACCTTGAGACCACCCCTTTGCCTTGCAGGTCCCGGTCTGGTGTTCCAGGTCTACCCGGAGGCCGTGGCGACTCTCCCTGGCTCGCAGTTCTGGTCGTGTCTCTTCTTCCTCATGTTGATCTCCCTCGGGCTCGACTCTGGGGTGAGGCGATGTTGGCTTACGTGAACTGTTATCTTTTCTTTTCTTTTCTCAACTCTTAGTTTACATCGTTTTTTATGATTTATCTAATATGAGCCACAGCGAAATTTGTGGTATGCGTTCGTGTATTTACTATATTTTAGTATGTTAGTACATGGTATATTAGAGCAGAAAATTATAGTATATAGTCTTGATATTGGTATATAATGCATGCAGTCACTAGAATCTGATACAGAGTGGCATTTCGGGGATTTATTTTATATTATATACTCCATACGTCACCATCATCATCACAATCATCATTATTTTCATCTTATTACACTTCTTGATATGTCATCAGGATTTCACAAAAGGTTACAGACGGATCGTGATGGCATATTATGGGTGGGTTGTCCATGGCCGGGTAATCGACTGTTTGGATTTTGCTGGTCGATTAGCAAAGAAAAATATATTTTACGAGCGAAGATAAGTAGACAGAATAGATGTATAATGGAAAGTAGAAATTTGGTATAAAGCATAGTGATGAATGGTATTTTATATGTAAATTTTAGAGTAGCTAAGGCTTAAACCGTTATGAATTGGTGGTAAATGAGTAGGTGTTATTGTGGGATTTTAGGATGATTGAGAGTGGACGGTTAAAAGTAGACCTCAACAGTAGATTCTCAAGTAAAGACAATAGATTGAATAGAGATTATATAAAAAAGAATTGATAAATAAAAATAAAAATAACGGTCCAGGTCTTAACAGGATATCCTTCACTATCCACTCCACGAATACTCTCTTGCTAGTTCTATAAATGCTCTCAGGCTGCTATGAATACTCTCTGGATAGTTCTATGATTACCTGAGTTGCCCTATGAACACTCTCTAGCTAGCTCTATAAATTCCCTCAGGCTGCTCTATGAATACTCTCTAGCTGCTCTATGAATATTCTCTAGATGGCTATATGAATACTCTCTAGCTACCTCTATTAATATTCTTTAGATAGCTCTATGAATACTCTAGTTGCTCTATGAATATCCTCTAGCTGTTCTATGAATACTCTCTAGATAGCTCTGTGAATACTCTAGCTGCTCTATGAATACTTTCCAGCTCCTCTTTTGATTCCTAGTTTCTCAACGAATATTCTCTAGGTAGCTCTATGAATATTATATCTGCTCTATGAATACTCTCAAGGTAGCTCTGTGAATATTCTATCTAGTAAAGACGCTAAATACTAAATATCTTCTACCTGTGCTAAAAGGTTAAATACTTGCTTGTTGCACTATGAATACTCTCCAGTTTCTCTACAAATACTTTCCAGCTGCTCTACGAACACTCGCTAGCTGCTCTATGAATACTCTTACAGCTCCATTAATAGTCTCCAGCTCCATTAATATTCTCCAGCTGCTCTACGAATACTTTCCAGCTGCTCTATAAATACTCTTACTGCTGTTCTACGAATACACTTACAGCTGCTCTACGAATACTATATCTGCTCTATGAATACTCTTACAGCTGCTCTACGAATACTTTCCAACTGCTCTACAAATACTTTCCAACTGCTCTACGAATGCTCTTACAGCTGCTCTACAAATACTCTTCAGCTGCTCTACGAATACTCTTTCCAGATGTTCTACGAATACTCTTACAGCTGCTCAGTGAATACTTTCCAGCTGCTCTATGAATACACTTTCCAGCTGCTCTACAAATACTATCCAGCTGCTCTTCAAATACTTTCCAGCTGCTCTACGAATACTTTCCAGCTGCTCTACTAATACTCTTATAGCTGCTCTGTGAATACTTTCCAGCTGTTCTACGAATACTCTCAAGCTGCTCTTCGAATACTTTCCATCTGCTCTACGAATATTTTCCAGCTGCTCTACAAATACTATCCAGCTGCTCTACGAATACTATCCAGCTGCTCTGCGAATACTATCCATCTGTTCTACGAATACTTTCCATCTGCTCTACGAATAATATCCAGCTGCTCTACGACTACACTTTCTAGCTGCTCTACGAATACTTTCCAGCTGCTCTTTGAATACTTTCCACCTGCTCTACGAATACTATCCAGCTGCTCCACGAATACTATCCAGCTGCTCTACGAATACTTTCCAGCTGCTCTAAGAATACTCCTCAAGCTGCTGTTTTCCTCCTCACACAGATGGGCGGGCTGGAGTGCGTGATCACCGGTATGATGGACGAATTGCGCCTTACATTCGGGTGGAAGACCATCAGGAGGGAATTCTTCACCGCCCTGGTCGTTATGTCGTCTTTCCTGGTGTCCATTGCTAACTTCTGTCAGGTGAGAGGGAGGGAGGGTAGGAAGGGAGGGAAGGGAGGTGAGGGAGGGGAGGTGGGGATGGGTAGGAAGGGGGGTAGGGAGGGGAGGTGGGATAGGGAGAGGGAGGGAAGGGGGAGGTGGGGATGGGGAGGGAAGGGGGAGGTGGGGATGGGGGAGGGAAGGGGGAGGTGGGGATGGGGGAGGGAAGGGGGAGGTGGGGATGGGGGAGGGAAGGGGGAGGTGGGAAAGGGAAGGAGGGTAGGAGGGAAGGTGGGGAGGGTGAGGTGAGGAGGGTAGGAAGGGGAGGTGGGAAAGGGAGGGAGGGAGGGAGGGAAGGAAAAGAAAGGAAAAGGTGGGAAAGGAAAAGGGAGGAAGGGAGGGGGAGGTGGAAAAGGAAAAGAAGGGGGAGGTAGGGAAAGGGGAGGGAAGGAGGGAGAGAAAGAGAGAGAGAGAGAGAAGAGAGAGAGAGAGAGAGAGAGAGAGAGAGAGAGAGAGAGAGAGAGAGAGAGAAAACGAGAGCAAGAGATGGAGGAAGAGGGAGAGAGACAGAATGGAGAGATAAACAGACAGACAAAAACAAAGATAGAGAGAGACCGAGAGATAGGTAAATAGCCACCAACACCTCGTTCCTAACTAACCCAGGCCTCTCTCTGCAGGGCGGGATGTACGTATTCCACTGGCTGGACACGTACGCCGCTGGGATATCGCTTCTGTGCTCAGCCCTCTTCGAAGCCGTTGCCGTGTCCTGGTTTTACGGTAAGAAATTCGTCTGCCATTTCGTTCTCATTTCGTCATTCGTTATCTCTTTCTGACTTCTGAGTCTGATTTCATATCTGACTTCATATCATCAGCTCTTGAATATATTTATATGGAAATGACTCTCGGCTCTTTTACCCCTTATTCACTACCTGGCTAAGGATATAGGTTATTGGGGCTGCAGTCAAGTGCCTCTTGAGATTAAGTGAAAACTGATTTAATTTTTTCGCAAGAGATCATTCAGAGCAAATACTTGAATTTAAATTGTTCTTTACTACTACTACTACTACTGCGGCTGCTGCTGCTACTACTAATCTACTAATCTAATAATCTATTACTATTACCACTACGAAGGTGCCATATCCCTTAGGACGACGGCAAATGTTTTCAGTTTTCTGAATGAGTTGCGATGATGTTGTATTCTTTCTCTCTCTCTCTCTCTCTCTCTCTCTCTCTCTCTCTCTCTCTCTCTCTCTCTCTATATATATATATATATATATATATATATATATATATATATATATATATATATATTTTTTTTTTTTTTTTTTTTTTTTTTTTTTTATCGAACCATCCACAATTATTTCTCTCTGTCTTCCCTTGCACACTTTCATTCTACCGTTCCAGTTTGCATTTCGTATTCTGTGCTTTCTTCCTATACTATGTCAAAGAAATCTAATTACCTTTTTCTAATACAACTCAATCCTTGGTCAACCCTAAAACTTCTGACTTGTCATCTGTATCTCCTTAGCATCTTGTTCCTTTTGCGTTGTTTTATTATAAGTTCAAGATTTAGACCCGTTTAGAAGAGCAGACAGTTCGCATTCTATTTTCTGTATTTATTGATTTGCTCATCTGGATTCCTTACAAGTGAAAAACTTTTTTTTCACGGTTTTCCGGACCGATCGAGGCACCTTTTCTCTTCAGCCTTGTAAAAAAACATATATATAAGATTTTGCTATACCAATCTTTATTTCATTTTACTTTACTTTACCTATGATTATACTATTTGGCCAAAAAAATCATCTAGCTCTCCTTTATCCCAGGACTGCGACGGTTTAGTGCAGACATCCAGCACATGCTCGGTTTTCGCCCCATGATTTACTGGAGGGTCTGCTGGAAGTTCGTGTCTCCGCTCTTCATCCTTATCACGGTGAGTAGGACATGGGAGGGTAAAAGTGTAGGACATGAGAGAGTGGATGTATTGGGGCTTGGGGAGAGACACATAAGATGTTGGTGATTGGGAAAGGTTGGAAAGAGGCCATGAGAGTAGGTTATAAAGAGTGAAATATAGTAAAAATGGGACAGGAATGCGAGTGCTCTCATATTTTCCATGTACCTGTTGTTGATAAATAACAATATAGGCATTCAGAGATTCCACTTTACTTACTCTTTTGTAGGCTAATTACTATGCACTGTGTATGCATATATATATATTCTAGGCCGTATTCGTCTATACATCCATCCATCCATCCACACACACACACACACACACACACACACACACACACACACACACACACACACACACACACACACACACACACACACACACACACACACACACACACGCACACACACACACACACACACACATATATATATGTATATAACATGCGTTTGTGTATGTGTGCAAGTATGTATTGGTGGCCGTTTTAGTGGAAACTTTGTGATGCAGTTGGTTTAGGAAATTCCTTTACAAAGTCAGCTAAAATGGAGTCTATATTCCAAAACTGTTTAAAAATCCATAATAATGATACCCACCGTAATACCAATGACTAAGACACTTGTGCTGCAGATCGTCATCGGGTTGCAGTCACAAGCCTCCGGAAAGCTCGAGTACCACGGCCCGATACACTACACTTACCCTGCCTGGTCTGAGTCTGTGGGCTGGCTCATTACCTCGACGTCAATGTGCATGATTCCGCTGTGGATGATCATCACCATCTGTCGCCAGCCTGGGAGTTTCCGACAGGTTAGTTCAACTTTTGAATTCTTACGTCTGGATTCCTATACTGTACTCTAAAGCAAAAGGAATAATAACGTACCAACATAACTTTTCTAGAATACCATACATCCTGAGCTATAATATGCTAATGTTTCAGAAACTGTTGCTAAGCGTCACGCCTGAGGCCGAACACCACAAGATCCTGGAGACAGAGGAAACTCCCCGCTTGGACTGGAAGCACTGGTTGCACGTCTGAGTTTGCAATCTCGCCTTTGCTCACATGTGACTACTAAATAACACTTTCACTTACTTACAAACACATCCACACCTACTAGTAATATACAGTGGTATACACTACTGCACTGAAATACTAACAAGGTGACGCCAATTTTACATGCTATTTTTCGGGAATGCATGCTAATGTTCACGAGAAACTCTGATCACCACCTAAATATCTAGGGAGTAATTAAACATTCCAAAATATACGTATGCCAACCTAACATGCACATTTATGTATGTGGATTTTGTCTTACCGCGAAGAAACACGCGATTTCCATTACACTTGTACACGGTGGCCAAATCTGCCAAATATACATAACAATATGAGGTACAAACTAATTATTTTCATCACACTTCAGATACACAGGTTACATTTGATTCAAGACACTTCTGGAAGTAACAAAACACATACCATTTTTTTCATAGTTACTGGCTTTCTTCCAAAAATGATATGAACATGAAGGCCAGCCACACACAAAAACATTTAACCTTACTACCACACAGAGAAGATAATTTAAAGAGACTCCACAGTCCAAGACACACGAATAATGACAGTAACGTGAAAATCATAATGTATCCATGTAGTAACATACAGTCCCATTATTTGGGATCAACAGGCTTGTTATTTGAGTTGCATTTGCTGTAACGAATAAGCTTCTTGTAAATAATTTTATAAAGTAGTGCTTGATCAGCTCTGGGAAGTGTAATGAAAAGTGGTGTGAGTAACAGCGTACTTAACTTGCGTTCTCATTTCACAGCCACCGATCATCAGTTAGGTCACTCGTAACTTATCCTTACAGCAGCGTCTTTATCAAATGTTGGGTTACTATGCCCGTGAAAAAGCTTGTCATTACTGTCGTTCTTGTAGGCAGGGACGCGGCCATACTTTCAAGGGGAGGCCTTAACGAGGACAGAAACTTAATACATTCGGTATAATAGAGAAATCAAGTGGTTTTCTACTTGCTGCAGATAGGAGTATGGCTTATAATTTATGTTTCTTATTAGTATTGGTGACTTAGCTGACGATCATCTACCTCAATAGTATTATCCTTAATTACCCGAAACTGCAAAAAATTGCCGTTAGCATTCTCTACCTTACCAGAGCAGACAGTACGCAACCAGTACGTGTTTCTCTGCGTGCTACGTGAACGCAGCCCATTGGTCGGCCGTGTAGCCATTAAGCCAAACTAACCAATCAGCGCGTGCCATCAGGTGTGTGTGATCAGGCAACCAGCACTGGGATGGTCCGAGGGGGAGAGACATCTGGTGACTGAACAGCTTGGTTGATTCATTGTCATAATTCATATAGACTTTATATTTTATTTACGTTTGTAACATACCCGCTTGATAATTAAGATATATGTAGTGTCATGTATTTACTTAACTGCACGTATCCTTGTCACTCAGTATTTCACTATACTGCAGTTTCCAAATATCATGGAATGTTTTTGGAGTGTGTTTTTATTACATAAATCATTAGCCTCCCATCCTGATAGTTAAATTTCATATAATTTCACGAATTTTCTCAAATTTGATTTACATATACTTTAATGATTGCAACCAGTATTATTGCCCTGTGTTTAACACCGTAATTGGTTTAAGTTTCATTTTGTAGCCTTTTCGTTCTTAGTTTGAACCAAAAACGACTTAACCAACACTTCAAACTATGACTATGACCTCGTCGACTGTCTACATACCAGAGTTCTGTTTTGGCTGCCACAGTTCACCTCACTATCAAGGCATTTTTTTCCTGTTACCACTATTCTCGTTATAGTCACCTCTGCCATTTTAATCCAGTTTCTAATTCTTTGTTTAAGCTGAATGAAAGAAGCTACAGCCTATCCTTCAATTTTGTTACGATTATCTCCATCATCAATATGATCATGCCTGACAATAATTTATCAAGAAAGCTAGAAGAATCAAATTCAACATATCATAAAACTGCAAAGTAATCAGATCTGTTTGAGAACGATCCCTTTATGACATCACGTATTTTGATATGTAACACACAGAATTGCAGAGTTTAAGAAAGTAGAATTCTGTACTACACAAATTTTATATACAGCTTCTGTCTCCCGCGCTTGATCCATTGCTTGCACAAAATAGGTTAGGTACAGTGTGTGTACACAGATAAATAATGTCTTTGGTTTTTAGAACTGTGTAGGTAATATCATTCAAGAATCCTGATAAAATGGAAATTAAGATACATATCAAGCTAAGTCAAAAAGAGGCAGCTGGGTTGCAAGTAGTGTAGCATAGGTTTCATCGAAAGTCTAAGAGTCGTAAGGCGTGTGGCCGTTAGGTGTGAGAGAGGCCCAAATATGCTTCTCGCTCTCTCACAACTGGCGGACAAGACCACGTCGGGACTTTTTACAATTTTTGTAGTTTCTTGAAAGAATGAATTAACTCTACGGTATGTATATATTTCGCGTTTAGTGGGTATGGATATAATCGACATTTATTTTGATAAAGCACTAGAGATTCGGAGGACATTAATCATTCCCAGTGTTGTATATGTTTGATGTTGTTGTTAACATATGTGATTTAAGTGTTGTTACGATGGATAAAGACTAGTGTTCCTATATTACTGATGTTAGAGAAATCTTTATGAATAGAGCTGTTATTATCCCGAATTATTCTGTAAGGTTGGGTGTACTTCTCAGTTCATTACTGGACGATTGTTAATAGTTGTAGACATAAGTATTTTTAGTTAGTTTTTATTTTATTTTTTTTATGTGTGTACATGCAGGCGTGTCATTTTGACCCAGTGGCTGTAAAATACTTTCGTCAGCCTGTCAACATCTTGCATATCATTCTGGCTGGCTGAGAGATAAGAGTCGCCAGCCCTTTTAGCCTCGTTCCTTGAAGGAGACGAGTTTCAAATGTGCTTCCAAGTCTACAGGTGGACTGCAGCACCTTACTGTCAGAGTTTAGTACTTATATGTGTGCAGACAAGCCCAAAATAACACTACTCTACTGTCCAAATATGCATATTGTGAAAGCAAGCATAACGTAGAGGAACGCTAACTAAATATTACAGATATGTTTCATTCTGTCGGTACAAAACAAGAGCTTTAGTTTCCATAATTTGTTTACAGTTTTGTGAATTCCTCAAACGCAAATGAGTCATCCCTCGTGTTTACAATCATATTTCTTCGTTCAACCAAGCGTTGACAAAAGTACCGCATACAAATCCGACTTTTTCTCTCTACTTAGTCTAATTGTCTTGTTTAGTTTGTTCCATTAAAAACAGTAATAGTCAGGCGTGGGCCATTGTTCACCGGTAAAAAGTGATCATATTGTGTATCTTATCGTGGATTACGGGAGAAAGAGGAAGATCTTACACAATCATTGTTACGTAAAAAAAATAAATAAAAAAAAATGAAAAAAAATCTTCGTGGTCTGCATTGTGGATTTATGTGGTGAGGTGTAATGTGTAGAGATCTGTGTTAAACGTGTTCTAAACCTGTAAACGTATGAAGGTTGTATCCTGCTGTAAAAACACACATATCATGGAGTCCGGCAGTTTGTGCCCCAACAGCCCTCGTTTGCTAACCTACCAGAGCTTCCTTAGTCATAGAGGTAAATAATCTTCAAGCTGTGTTTAAGTTTACATTCTTAGGAATTCCTAGACTACAGTTTTGACAAGCTCCTCTGTGACTCAATCGACCTCTTCACGAACAAAGAGCTGCAAATACATATATGTTGTACATATATTATGTTTTAAGGTATTCTATGTCACAGTAGAGTGTAGCGTAACGGTGTGACACATCCTTGTATAACGCCAGTCATATGTATGTACACCTGGAATGTACTTAGTTCTCACCTCTGTACATATGAATACTAGATTTGTCTTTTGTATCTTCATTTTTTTCTTGGAATATTATGTATTCATGTTAAGTGTCCAAAAAATGCAGTACAACTTACCGCTCGGAGAATATTGAATTAGAGAAGGTATAGGATTTAGTTGTTTTGTATGCTATTGTTTAATGTATCGGAATGTCGGAATAAAGCGTAATAAACGTA